CGGCATTGCCTGGGCAGTCAGAGCCTGGCAGTGACAGAAACAGCATCGAGTGGTGTATGACATGTCTTGTAGGAACCCAAGAAAATCATCAACATAATGTAAGTTTGTGCACCTGACTACACCCAACCCCAACACCCAACCTTGATGACCATCAGGCAAAGCATTGATAAATCACTAAACATTTGCTCACTGTTTATCCGTTTCTGATGTCACACTGAGCAAAGTTTACTGGGCAAAATTTGCTCAAGTGGATGGGTCCTTATGTTCAATATTTAGGGAATTGTCTGGTGAAGAAACAAACTTTCCACAGCTGTGGAAATGGCTCCACAGATTGTCAGTAAATTGTTTTACTATAATTGATTTTTTTCCATAGTAAGACAAAATGTATTTACATGCAATTCCCATAGCTTATCCATTGACATAAACACCTGTTAAGAATAATGTATTTTAGTTGAGTATGGTGCCATGCGTTAAATCAGTCAAAATATGAATTCTGCAAAGGTAACATGTCATGAGTTCATTTATAATTGAATAGTAATAGTTAACGATTACAAAACAAAATAAATGTGCCAGAGATCAACAGTCATATAGCACTATAGAAATGTTTAGCAGTGAAAAGGGTAAGATGGGGGTAAGTTGATGATCTAATGTATTACAAAATAAATGTGCCAGAGATCAACAGTCATATAGCACTACGGAGAGGTTTAGTAATGAAAAGGATAAGATGGGGGTTAGTTGAAGATTTAATGTATTACATGTCTAAAGTAGTACAGCAGTTTAGGATAGTATGGTTTTGAAAAGGGTATATAGGAGTCAAGGTAGGAAGGGTAAGTAAATTGGTTAAGGTACAGATTAGCAAAAAGGGGATTAGATCAAAGTTGTCAAAGGAAAATGTTTGGAATTTTGCAAGGATGTCCATGGGGTAAGGAGCAAGTGAAGGGTGAATAGATCAAAAAGCAGTTTCAGGAGACATGTCGGGAAGGGAAGGATCCAGGGAAAGCCATAGTTGCGACAAAAGGGAGTAGTGTGTATCCATGAGGGAGCGGAAGGAAAGGAAGATGGTGCAAATGAATAAAACGGGAGAGGGGGGGGGGGGGAGTTTAGATGATGGGTGAGGTATAAGTATGTTTCTTGGGTCATGATTAGATAATTTTGAATGTACTCGGGAGTTTCTTAAATGGTGTTGGTTGAGGTGGTCTGAGAAACCAAGGTTGGTCTGAGAAACCAAGGCTTTCTTAGAGAGAAGGCAGACATTTGAGGGCACAAGAAGTGGTAGGTACAGAAGAGGATGCGGTAGATGAAGTGAAACGTTGAGACTGTCTGATGCGATGAGTAGACAAGGAGGAGAGGGGTAGGCACCAGGAAGTAGAGGTTGGAATGTCTGGATTTAAAATGGCAAAAGAATTTGACTGGGTGAGGGAGGTGGTAGAAGGGGGGGGGGGCAGAGCGAAGGACAGCACTGGAGTAGGAAGCGTGGATCTGAGTATTGCTACCTCAAATTAGGACTTGTAGGTAGGGCAGCCATTATAAAGTGCATTAAGGGGGTCGCCACAATTGACACACATGCGTGATTGCACAGGGCAGTTTGAGCAAGCATGGCCAGGTTGGGCACAAAGAAGACATTGGGTTGTGAAGCAGAAGTGTTTGGCAGGGAGGTCAAAACGCTAAAACACTTGTGACATTGACGGGGAAGGGCCTTCTACTAATACGAACTTTATGGTGGAGATCATGTCAACGGTATGGCAATATTGGTGTAAGACTTTCGGCGGCGTCTGGGGGGAATAGTGTAGCACTGTACTGACACTGCATCATGGTCAACAAGGCAAGCGGGCAGGTGTTTCTTCAGTTTGACCAAACCTTGTCGTAGACAGGACAGTCAGCCTGAGAGTTGGAAATAGTTCTGGTACAAGTTGCAAGGGAAGAGTGAAGCTGGAGAGGAAAAGATTTGCCAGTGAGATTAGTCAAGGTACATAACGCATAAGCTTGGGTCTCAAATGTAACTATGACAAGGTGTGAACTTTGCCTAGTTGTTTTTGGAAACATTGTTGGAATAAGAGGATATTGTCCGAGTAAGGGGCTGTAAGGGAAATCACAAAAAAGACAATGCTATTTAACTAAGAAGAGTATGTGGAGCATGAGGAGATGGATTGGAGGATGATGGAAGAAAAGTTTCGATGTTTTCTGAAGGTTATCATTGTACCAGGTAAGTGCTTTGGAATTCATTGAGCTGGCAGCAGGTGTCGAGGGGGGAGTAATAGTAGCAGTATTCAGAGCCGTTATAAAAGAAATTAATGCTATTGGAACTAATTGAGGGCCCTAATAAATGTCCCTAATAAAAGTACAAACTCATTACTGGCTATAGTAAGTCTGGAATAAGCGGCAAGGAAAAATGGTTCGCCCCTCAGGGTCCGCATAAGGGAGAAAAGCTATATAAGGCCGTTTAGGACCAACCCAAAGCCAGACTTTCATCCTTTCAACACGGCTCTTTGGTAGTGGAAGAAGGGCTTAGAGAAAAGAAAGAAAATTAGAGGGGGAGAAGAAAAGACTGTGCAAAATTGGTTGTCATCATAACTGCAAATACAATTTGATAAAGGTACTTCATTTTGTTGAGCAAATTTCAGCTGACGACAGTCATTGAATTGGTAGCCTTCTTTGCAAAATACGTTTGGAAATTCACTAATAGATTAGGATATGAGAACCACCTAAAACTACGCTTTATTGAATATTCTAGTTGACACAAAACTGTAAACTCACCAACGTAAATGATTGTATGGAAATACCTACCTTTTTAAAGAAACTGTTGGATCTGAAACTGAAATTGTCTTAAGGTATTTGTAGCTGTTCTCCTGCTTCACTGCCGTCAACAGTGTCACAGTTCCGGTTACTTTCTAAAATGAACCATTCGCCCAAAATTTTGGCCACTATTGGGTCATAGTCCAGAGGTGCTGTAATCATCAAAGTTTGGATGAGATTAGTACAGGTATTGATGGCATTTCTAATATAGTAATGTAACAAACGACATTCATAATGCATAATGCATACTTTCTTTCTCTGTCTCCCTGTCTGTCTGTTTGTCTGTCTGTCTGTCTGTTTGTCTGTCTATCTGTCTGTCTGTCTGTCTGTCTGTCTGTCTGTCTGTCTGTCTCTCTCTCTCTCTCTCTCTCTCTCTCTCTCTCTCTCTCTCTCTCTCTCTCTCTCTCTCTCTCTCTCTCTCTCTCTCTCTCTCTCTCTCTCTCTCTCTCTCACTCTCTCTCTCTCTCTCTCTCTCACTCTCTCTCTCTCTCTCTCACTCTCTCTCTGTGTGTGTATGTGTGCGTGTGTGTGTGTGTGTGTGTGTGTGTGTGTGTGTGTGTGTGTGTGTGTGTGTGTGTGTGTGTGTGTGTGTGTGTGTGTGTGTGTGTGTGTGTGTGTGTAACCATTGTAAAAAAAAACACATTGAATCAGCCATACCTCAATAATGTAAAACAAGAGCATGATATACTACTGCGCAAAAGGTAATACAATGGTTAGGAAATCTGGTTTTGCTGAAGACGAGGTGAAATGTAAATTATTTAGGACATTCTGCTACTCTATGTATTGTTCATCCCTATGGTGCAGGAATAGGATATCTGTTACATTTAGGCTTCGTGTTTCATACAATACTATAGTGAGACGGCTACTGAATGTTCCACCCTGGGAAACTGCATCCCAGAGAGACAGAGAGAGA